TGTGTGTGTGTGTGTGTACGTGTCACTAATCCGGTCTATGAACTTCCATTCACTCACCACCAGAGGTCACCCTTCCATTACATTGACTCTCGCACTAAACAAACTGTTGCATGTCATCCCGGACTACATATCCCATCATCCATTGCACTGATTGCACACAGCACTGATTGCACGCACCATTCACACATTCGCACTCAGATCCCTTTCAAACTGTATTGTATGCGCATATCGTTAGTTGTGATAGCTACGTTACGGAGCCTACTTGAAGTTTCATAGTCTTAGCCTAGTCTTGCCTTGTCTGTTTCCTCGTGTTCTGATCTTTGCCTGTGCACTTTGGGTTACCTCTCTCGTCTTGCCGTGTTCGGATACTGTTTGCCCCTGCCTGGACCTTTGCTTTGTACCTGGATTATCTCTCTAGTATATTTTTGGAAGGATGCGTAAATTAAAGTATAGAATAAAAAAAAAAAAATTAATGGTTACAAGGTCTTGTGAATATTTCTAATAGAACATTAGAATGTAGTTAAAATTATTAAACATTAGCATAGCAATTCATAATCATATAAACTTTATATTCTAAGAAAAACAATCCCTAAATTGCCTAATCCCAGTTCAAGCAACGTTCTCAATTTTACCATTATTTCCTGATTTGTGCTGTATGAAGTGCTTTTGTGGTCTTCAAAGATGTAAACACAATATATTTAGCCATTTCTATAATACATTTTAAGAATACACTAATTTCAAGTGCTCTCTTTTCTTGATTGAAATCTGATCACATTGAAAAAATGTTGTGGTATAACAAATTCAGGTAATCCTAGTTCATGCTATTGTCTCTGGTCACAGTTTAGTGGACAAAAGTGTTTACCTTTGTAGTAACAGCTTTTGTCACCAGTCCAGTTTGACTGCGAAGCATTCTGCGAAGCAAATATGTGATCTGTAAACAATGTCTATCCTCCAGAATTGTCCTGTCCTCGATTAGTGCCAGGAGGGAGAAGGAATGTCTGGACACAAAGTCCTTTTAGTGTCACCACATAAGGCATGGATGCTAAGAGCTGGCGGACAGAAGCATAGCCGTCCAGCACCTCAGAGTCAGGAGAAGCGGGCAGGACCTGCGTGCTTTGCTCAAAGTGACACCGTTAGGATATTGGACCATCAGATCCCGAAGTGCGTTCTTCTGATGAGCTTCATCAGGGTCAGTGCTTGGTTCTGAGAAAAACCTGGTTACTACAAATATACAATACATGACTAATGTACAGTATAGCTATAATTTGTACCATAACATTGGCAATTCTCAAATAATAGTGTTTACACTGGATCTGGTCTATTAATTGGCTTCAAGATCAATTCAAATACCCCCTTACAAAACAATAATGTGGTGACATCTACTTTGATATATATGGACTCATAGTATTCAGCCAGCTTAAGCTGTACTCCAAAGTAATTAAAATAATACCATGTTACTTGTACAAAATGTAAGGTATTACCATACCATGTTCCAAACAAACATGGTAATACAACTGTATTTTGTTACTGCCAGAAGGTTTGAACCATGAACTGTCTGCCTGTATCACTGTAAAATGTCGAGAAAACTGTAATTATCAAAGTAGTAATATAAGTCTGACATTTATGTAACGGATGATGGTGGTTCTCCCTTAGCGAGCACTTTACTGTACAGCGTTTACTGTACAGATCCTCAGGTACCATTCTGTGTCATCTTTAACAAGCATGAAGTGGCCATTCTTTTTACTTAAGACAGTGAAATTCCATAATGAAGTTGAACTGAATGATTACTTTATTCATATACCGTGGTATTTACAACTTACAACCCCAACCGATTTTAACTGAGGGTGACCTGGACCCCAAAAGAGGGAATTTTTCTGTGTGGGATGGAATGCTCTTCCACCCAGGACTGGTTGCAGGTCCCTACCTGAGTGACCACCCCTATGAATGAATATATTCTGGCTACGCCCTGCAAATGTGTAAATGTTGTATTGCTTGAGGTTGCATCAACTTCATTGTGATGGAATTCTTCACCTTTGTCTTAGTTGTACTGGGGTTTTTTTTCACCTTTACATGCCTC